GTGCTTGGTACTCTTGATATTACATATCACCTAATCAATGTGTCGGTTAACCATACACGCTCCATTGATCTATGATAAACATCAAGCTACCCTTTTCCACCCTTGTTAGTCCCAAATTAGTGTGTCGCTTAACCACACACGCTCCACTAACGACTTAGGAAGGTGCAAAGTGCAATTTCATGGAATAACACCATTTTCACATTTTTCCTAAAGTAACTAAGATTGGGAATTTATAAAATTTTAGTTACTTTATAATATCATTATACTTATTAATGAGGATTAATTTCCTATCCTACCCGTTCGGCTAACGACCCTCCACTAGTCAAGGGTGCGATGGGTGAGAGTGGATACCCAATGGCGGTCATATTATAGGTCGCTTCCTTAAACATCCCTTATAGACCAGCTTCGTAAATGAGGCCTACTAACGGTAAGACTGACTTGTCTTATACATATATATAAGTATTAATCTTTTAATATTATAATAGTATAAGGGTTGAATTTTAAAATTTTTAAAATACTAGGGTTTGAATTTAAAGTTTCATAAATGAGACTCTTGAAGTTCCAAAACTTGAAGGCAAGTTTTGTAACTCTTCAAAACTTTTGATTTCCATAACACATGGATTTATTGTTTCATGAATGAGACTTTTCAAATTCCATAACTTGAGGGCAAGTTATGAAACTCTTCAAGACCTATGGAGTTTCATAACTTATGGGTTTAATGTTTTCATGATTGAGACTTTCCATATCCCATAACTTGAGGACAAGTTATGAGACTCTTCAAGAAACATTTAGATCAAATTTAAACTAATACAATTATCAAATAATATGTCATTTACCAATTTGACCTAATTTAGTTCATGTAGCAAGACAATTTCTAATTCTACAAATAATTAGTTTTTTCACAAAATCAAGTAATTATCTTAAAAATTGTCAATCATCATGTTATTGGATGGGGATAATTATTACCATATTAGTAAAATCAAATTTTACGAACCAAAACAAATTGTGATAATGATCCTAATCCAAAACAGGCCAAAAACTCGACAATTCTGCCAATAGATGAACCAAATCGTCGAGCCAGGCAATGGACTCTTTGAGTTCATGGCCAAATTCATCCAACTCGTCGATTCCCTCTTAGGACTCGTCGATTCCATCAGGCAGTGGCTAGAAATGTCATTTTTTCAGCTTTGAAAATCAAACAATTGCATCAATATAATAGAAAACACCCACGGCTCTGATACCACTGATGGGTTTTATGTACTCTAACATCCCTATGGTGCATATACAACCCTAATGCTTTAGATCTAAGTTTTCTCTAATTGTACATGCAATATTGTTTTTCCAAAGCATGAAGCCAAAACTAGCATACAACTTGATATATGAATCATAAAAACTAGTTAGAAGATTACCTCTTGTTGTAGCTTGTTTGTATTTGGCCTTTAAGAGCTTAGAACCCCAAATGTGATGCCTCAAATATTTCAAAACACACCCAGAACAAAAGGAGGCTTGTGAGAGAGAAGCTAGGAAGCACAAATCGGCTAGTATTCTTCTTTAGAATGCATCAACTGATTTTAGGGAGTTACGGGTTTCTTTTATAGCCTAGGGTTTCATCCATGCAAACCCTAATTCACCATGAATCTTCACGTTTCATAGGAATTTTGGGCTAAACCTTCATGGACTCTCATAAAGGTTTAGTCCAACCCTAACCAACATGGATCATTGGTCCAAACTATAAGTATTACTTATTTACCTAATCAGTCCCCGTAAATTTAGTCAGTCTCTTTTGATCACTAAATTAATTCCAAATTAATTCTTGATCAATACTAATTAAATAATGTGATTTCTCTATTAATATATTATACTTATAATATATTAATAAATCACAAATAACCTCTTTCTCAAATATCCATCCTATCAAATTGTTCCAGTGAATTGCAACCCAAATGGACCATGCTACTTTCGGGTCAAGTACATACCAATTATAGTTATGGGCTTAGACACCTAATCCAACAGTTACAATTTGATATCAGAGCCTTAGTTTGAGGGATTCGGGCATACTCTCGGGTGTGTTTGAACTCAAACTGAGGGTTTGGTGGAATTTTTCAAAAAGAAATATCTTATAAAAAGGGTTTTCTAATAAAAGAAAAGGGCGTGGTGCATGCAATTGACCGAGCTCAAGTAAGTTTTCCCAAAATACCCATACATGTTTTATGATATGCTTTGATTTATGAATCTGTGAATCGCATTCTAGTTATGGCTAAGGATCCGCATGATAGAATGCTAGGAGAGATGCCTTTATATACCGACTTTATGAGCTTGTAGACTGGCATGCTCGTACTGATCAATCGGTAATAGGATGGCATGTTTAGGTTATGCTTGATTTCGATTACTCAATGCTCGAATGTTGCTTGCTTTGTGCTTTATAGGAGTTCTCACTAACTTCAGCTAACTAGTAAGCGAATATGATAAGTTACATATTAAAAAGACTACATAATTTTAGAAGGTTAGGTTTTAACTCTATTGTGCGACTCTTATTTGAGTCCAGCCGTTGTAGTGTGAGACCTTTCATTTGAATAACTATCCGGTGTTGGTGATATGTAATTATATTCGTGAGCTAGTTAGGGTTGGATTAGGTGTCTAAGCCCATAACTATAATTGGTATGTACTTGACCCGAGAGTAGCATGGTCCATTTTGGGTTGCATTCACCAGAACAATCTGATAGGATGGATATTTGAGAAAGAGGTTTATTATTTAATTAGTATTGATCAAAAATTAATTTTGAATTAATTTAGTGATCAAAAGAGACTAAATAAATATATAGGGGCTGATTGTGTATATCAGTGATACATATAGGTTGGCTAATAATCCATAATTGATTAGTGATGAGCTAAGCTTATGTAAGGTTCCATAAAGTGTTAGTCCATTACAAGCCCAAGTATAAGAATTAGGGTTTACACACAACCCTTGGAATTCTACACTATATATATGTAACCCCTTTGCCTAAAATTGGACACACTAGTAATCTTAGAGATACTATAGCCGATTTTGAGTGCATCCAAGTCTTCTCTCAAGTTCTCCAATTGTTGGTGGTGTTTTGTGAACCATTTGAAGCATCACACTTGAGGTGCTAAGTTCTTAAAGGCCAAATACAACAAGCTACAACAAGAGGTATTCTTCTAACTAGTTTTATGATTCATATACCAAATATTTGTATGCTAGTTTAGGCTTCATGATTTGGAAACAATATTGCATGTATAATTAGAGAAAACATAGATCTAAAGCATTAGGGTTGCATGTGCACCATAAGGTTGTTATAGTGCTCAAAACCCATCAATGGTATCAGAGCCTAGGATTGTTTTTTGTTATATTGATGCTTGGTTATTTTTCAAAGATGAAAAAATCGCATTTCTAGCCTCTGACTGATGAACTCGGCGATTCCAATGATCTGACTCGACGAGTTCACTCACAAAAGGGGCAACTCGACGAGTCCAGTTCATGCACTCATCGAGTAGAACCTTCTGTTTGCAGAACTTAGAGTTTTTTTTAGCCATAATTGGATTAGGATCATTACCACAAACTGTTTTGTATCATGAAATTCGTTTTTCTGATATGGTAATGTTTATCCTCATCCAATTAAAGGACAATTATCAAATTTTAAGATAATAAGTTGATTATTTGTATTATTTGATTTGAATTTCCTTGCCTTATGAGTTAGATTAGATCAATGGTAAATTATATGATAAAGTTGTTCATTAAAATTGATCTAAATGTTTGTAAAGAATTCCATAACTTGTCCTCAAGTCACTACAAGAAAAAGACCTTTTTACGACGCACAAACCACGACACTCATTGATTTATGTTACTCAAAAGAGAGTGACATTAAAAGAGTGTCATCTATTCAAAAAATTTAAGGATTTAGGTCACGCATTATTGCGTGCCCTTAAATTAGTGTCTAAACAAAAAGAAACACTAAGGGCACATGTGCGTCATCTAAGGATGTCGCTTTATAAATTTTAATGGAACGCGCGTTCCATCCTTTAATAGCAGGGGGAAATGAAATCCTAAAAAATTAAAAACCCCACGTTTCATCCATCTTTTAGGGTTTCCATGTAAACCCTAGACCTCGGTTTTGTTCTCTGATCAATTTGTTGTTGTTCGGGAAGGAATAACGAACTCATCCTCTCCACCAGCCGACAACCTTCATTATCTACTTCTCCTTTTCTCTGTAAACCCTAGACCTCATTATGCGGCTGTAACTCTTCCTCCCTTTCGTATTTTTGGAGCTTGGCAGCCATATAGTGGTCAACGATGTCGACTATCCTCTTTTATCCACCATTTTCTCCCTCTGAGACGTTAAAGACACGCCATCCCAAAATTAGAAGAACTAGGGCTTTTTTGCTCTGGATCTCACAGGAAACAAGTTTTCCTTGTCCCCACCCTCACCCATCCAAATTCCTTCTTCTTCAAATGATTATATGTTCTTACCTCTCAACCGTACCTGAATCAATATCTCTGTCTCTCTTGTGTCTATTCTCTCAATATCTGTTGCGCTTTCCTATTTACAGCCAGAGTTTGAGAGCGAAAAGAAAAAAGAAGAAAGAAAAGATGTGCATATTCTTCCTCTTTCTTCCTCTGGTTCGATCACAACCCTTCTTCTCCCTTCTTATTATTTTTTTTTTCGATTTGCAGGTGAGGGTGTGAGGTGGCGTTCGAAGGTTGTCAAGGGGTTGTCAGGGGATGATGGCTGGAGATGATGGCTGGTGATTGTTCGTCTTCATTTGTATTCCCAGGTAAATTGTCATTATCCTAATTATAAAATTAAAGCTAAAGAGCAATTTTAGTTTTTCAATTGTTTCATGTTGCGTGATTTGATATATATGTATATTGGCTTTTAATTCATTCCCCTGAAATTTAGGGTTCTAGGTTCATAAATGCAGACCAAACAACACACGCCCATTGATTCATGTTGCGTGATCATGTTATCATATGATGGGTAGAGATGACAAATAAATACATGGCGATTCCGATGGAGAAGTCTCTCATCCTTTTTGCGAAAGCATTCAGGTATATCTTCATAGAAACAGCATCAGAGATCAGATTGAGTTGTTAAACATTCTAAATCATTAATCATAACAGAGATTAGTGATGGAAGAGATGGAAATCGTGAAATGTTTCACAAAAGAAATCACTGGTTCCATATCGTGGAATGAATTCTCGGTAATTTTCGTTCTTATGAATATTGGTTAGCTGGAATTGGAATTCAATTCCATCCCATTTCTAGTGTTTGGTTGCAAATGACTAAAGAACTGAATTCCGTTGGAATTCAATTCCATTCCATTTCCATAAACTCATGGATTTCAATTCCATTCTCCACTCTATTTTGCTTCATGGATGAAATTTTACCAATCTTCCCTCTTTTGTATAAATGAAGTTGTACTGTACTACTCATAGAAATAATGCATATATTATTTTTTTTTGTTAATAAATGAAGTTGTACTGTACTACTCGTAGTAAAAAAAAATTATATACTTTGTTGTGTTGTACTGTACTACTCATAGAAATAATGCATATATTATTTTTTTGGGTTAATAAATTATTCTATAAAATTCATGTAAAATATTTTTTGTATATGACTCGAACAGAATCTAGATATTTCGAGCAACATATGTGAAAACCATGTAATATTTATTTATTAGTTTATTAATTTTCATACATTCTATATTAGGAAGTTGATAAATTTGTTCTTTATTTAAATGGAAAAATATTTTAAAAGTATTTTATATTTTCTTATTTATAAATTGTACATCAAAATGCATCCATATTACATCAAAAGTTGCCACCTGGGATCTAGCTGCTCTTATCTTGAGCGTTCCTCAACACAAACCTGGTGAGGAATTGCACCTTCCACACCTTCAGATATTGGCTAAGCAACAAGCTCAAAGGGAGGAAGAGCTATCCCAATAAGGGGCCATAATTGGTTCTTATTCATGGTTCTTATTATTATTTTTAAGAATCAGGGGCCATAATTGGTTTTAGAGTAAACCCTTTTCATTTTTTGTTCTTATTTCATGGCCTTTTCCTAATAAAAATGTAATTTTATGAACTGATTGAAATTGGTTTTACACAGTTCGTCGTCGTACTTTAAGCTTCCTGGAAAGAGATCAGGTGGAGGAGAGGTAGTATCAGATGAGACATTACGCCCCCAACTAATGACACTCCTCCCATGCATTTTCACCTGTGTCCGCTATTCTCATGTTGCTGTGAGACTATCTGCTTCAAGATGCATCACATCAATGAAAAAGTCAATGACATTCAACATCATGGGCTCAATAATCGAAAACATAATCCCTATGTTGGGTGACATGGCATCTGTGAATGCTAGACAAGGAGCAGGGATGCTAATAAGTCTGCTTGTTCAAGGATTAGGCACTGATCTTGTTCCTTATGCAAGGCTGTTAGTTGTCCCTCTTTTAAGGTGTATGAGTGATTGTGATCATTCTGTTAGAAGAAGTGTCACGCACAGCTTTGCTGCCCTTGTCCCTCTTTTACCCCTTGCACGTGGTGTCTCTCCTTCTCCTGGATTGAGTGAATGCCTGTTGTCTAGAAGTAGTTGAAAGTCACCCTGAGAAGGTATCAGCAAGATGGTATAAACTGGTTAGCCTTTTTAAAGAGGTTTAACCTTCATGGAATTTTATGTGATGATATGGGGCACTGGGTATATGAGATTGAAAATTCATTGATGCCTTTGTTATATCTTCATTGATGCCTTTATTATATCTTCACAGTTTCAAAACTACAATGTGATTCGTATAGATGTTTAGCATTTGAGACAGATGTTTTGGAACTATTATGCAGAATAATGTGTTGGAGTTGTTGGTGCATGGAAATGCTCCACAAATAATGAGTGTTTATTAGGTTGTATTTTTCCTTTATTGTATTTTGTGGTGTAAATACTCTCCCTCCTATATAAAGGGAGAGTTGGTCATTTATTACTTTAGCTAGCTCATTTCTTTTCTTAGATTAGAGATTACTTTTCTTACAATGTAATCCTAGAGAGAGAGAAAGTGGTGGGTTCTCCCACCCAGGGAGAGTTTCTCTCCCACCATGTTCTTCATGCAAGATTATGATTATTCTCTCTTGTTCTTAGTCTCTTTTCTGATGAACTCATAATATGTTCTTCGTGTTCATACTTCCAAAAACACGATTAATCTCGAGATATCTTTCTTCCGCACTCACCGTTCGTTATAAAAATGGGTCACAACAGGAGTTATGGTCTTTTTTGACTTTTTGACGTCCGAATTTCTTGGAACAGAGAGACAGGTATGTTAGTCTTTCATCCTCTTACCATAATCACTAATACACAAGAATCATGTTACAAGCATTAAGTTAGTGTTTACAATGACGGAATCAACAAAGGTATGTAATCTTTTATCCACTTTAATTTCTATAAACTTATGCCCTTAAATTATTTTTATATAATTTCCAATTTTACCCTTTTTGGTCTCAGAAATACAATGGGTCTACATCAGGCAGTGGCAGATTGCATTGAGCGTTGCCATGCTGCCAAAATGAGAACCGATCATACTTGGTTCAGGACAGTTGTGTTGGCTGGAGGCACTGCATGGTAATGTTTACCAGGGTTACCAGGTATAAATTAATTTATAAATATAAATGTTTTTAATTTTTAATATAATATTAATTTATAAATGATTCATGTTTTAATTAATTGTAGAAAGATTAGAAAAGGAAGTACATGATCTTCTACCTCCCTCCATATCCAATGGAATTCGTGTTATCACTTCCCCTTATGGTGCAGATTCTGCATGGTATGAAGCAAAACTTCTCAGCAATGTAAGCATCCACAACCCTATTTTTTTTAATATTTCTTTTATGAATTAAAAAAAAGTATATTTTAATCTTTGTAGTTGAGCACATTTCCAAATTCATGGTGCATCACTGAGGAGACTCATGCTTGATTATGTTTTGGATAAATCAAGTCCATCAACTGGTACCCCACATGGGAAAAAGAAAAAGAAAGTAACAACAGGTAATAATATATTAATCTTTCTGATAAATTGTATTCATAATCTGTAAATGTGTCGTTTTTTTAATACAAGTTGTTTTCTGCAGTGGGATAGTCACTCCAAGAAAGTATTTGATAAAATATATTACCTGATGTTACTGAACATAGAAGGCTTTCAATCATTGTGCATCTTTTGAGTACTTTAGGGGAGAGTGGAAGCTTAGCTTCATTACAGAAAGGTAAGTTTGTCTATTCCAGTTTTATCCTTGCTAAACTTCCATGTGTACATGTGCACATTCGGATTACTTCATTTTCTCTGATATTGGTTCAGACTTGGTGTTGTTTGTATTAACTTTTACACTTGATGCTTACATTGTTACAAAAGAGTGGCATGATGTTGTTCGTGTTGACTACATTCCTTCTCGTGTTGACTTACCTGCTTTAGGCCATGGGAAATATGTTGAACTTGTTAATCCATTTCAATGGAAGGTAACTTTCTTCATTTATTTACTTGTTTCCTGCCAATTTGTATGCATAGTCATAGTTTGACTTAATTAGTTGCTTATTTTGTTTATTAGTTGCTTGTTTTCTAGCTTATTATAGTCACTGATTGGTTTCTTCTTATGCTTAAATCTTAACAGCTATCATGGCAACCTTCAACAGTAGTTTTGGACTGGCACCTTCTTGTAGAAGATATCGTGTACGTGTTCTTGTGCTGCTATTGTGGATTCGGGAACATCCTTTGCTTACTGGTCCAACTGTATGTATCTCACGTGAAGCTTCTGTTAGAACTATTAATCTTAGGGATTTCAAGTTTTTCATATTTCTTCTATCTAATTAGTTTGTAAATTTCCGTTACAACTTTTATTGATTTGTTTTATCTTTCCATGGAACGATTATTTGTATGACATTAAATTTTATGCAATGGATTGTATTTTTGTATATGATATTTTATTTATTATGAGACATTAAATGCAAATTTAATTTGAAAATTAGTAAAATCTATAAATAATATTTTTTTAAACATATAAAATTACGATACAGAAAAATGTGTGTCATCTTCATTTATGACATGGCCTTTCTTGACAGGGGCTTTAATGATACGCAATGCGAGTCGTAAATGCACGTCGTAAGGTTACGACACGTAAATGTGTGTCGTCTTCCTTTATGACAGGGCCTTCCTTGATACGCATTGCGTGTCGTAAATATGCGTCGTAAATCGCGTGTCGCAATTGCGCGTCGTAAATGTGCGTCGTCTATAGACGACGCGCAAAAGCGTGTCGTCTCTCGTTATGACAGGGCCTTTCTTGACACGCATTTGCGCGTCGTCTGAGCGTTTTACGACACGCATTGCGCGTCATAAAAGGCTATTTTTCTTGTAGTGAGTTATGGAACATCAAGTGTCTCACTCATTAAAATGCATTAACTCATAAGTTATGGAACCCAAAAGCTTTGAAGAGTTTCAAAAACTTACCCTCACATTTTGGAATTTGTTGTCTCACTTATGAAACATTAATTCCAAACCTTAGAATTTTAAAAGTTTAAAATTCAACCCCTTATACTATTATAATATTATAAGTTTAATAATTATATATATGTATAACACAAGTCAGTCTTACCATTAGTAGTCCTCATTCACAAAGCCAGTCTATAAGGGGGTATAAGGTTACTACCTATAAAATGGTGGTTTAATGGGTGTCCACTCTCACTCACCGCTTCCTTGACTGTGGAGGTTCGTTAGCCAAACGGGTAGCATACGACATTAATTCTCGTTAAAAGTATAATGATAATTATAAAGTAACTAAATGTTTTATTAAATTCCCAATCTTAGTTACTTTAGGAAAAATGTGAAAATGATGCTATTCCATGAAATTGCACTTTGCACCTTGCCAAGTCGTTAGTGGAGCGTGTGTGGTTAACCGGAACACTAACTTGGACTAACAAGGGTGGAAAAGGGTAGCTTGATGTTTGTCATAGATCAATGGAGCGTGTGTGGTTAACCGGCACACTGATTAGGTGATAAATGACATCAATTGTACCACATGGTTATTCACACCTTGTTTTTGATCCTCGGTATCCCAGTCACAAACTTGAAAGGCATAATCGAGATTTAAACATGCCATTGAAAAGTTCAATGAATCTCAAAAGAATCTAAGAATTTCAATCCAATTTAAAACTTAATAATCAACTTCGTTTTTTCATGGTTGAAATTGGTAAATCGTCATTTACCTACCTTCAAACATTTTGTAATTATATTACGGCATTCATCTTCTGAATTATAGAATATTGTGTTGGGTCCTAGCCTTAATATTTCATTTGGGTGTTATATTAAGGATTCTTACCTAATCTAAATTTTGTCTTTTCTTTTTTAGATGTCTTCCAACACTACTTCTGGCTCAAACCCTTCTGGTTGTTTCTGTTGGGTTTTGAGCATTATAACACTCCTAAGGTGTACATGCAACTCTAATAACCTTGGATCTATGTTTTCTCTAAAATACATGCAAATAAGAATTTCCAAGGTTTACATCCTAACTAGCATAGCATGTAAAACTAGAATCATAATACACTAGAAGAATGGCATACCTTTTGATAGTGATTGATTGCTTGGAGTTTGAGAGCCTAGCACCAATAGTGTGAATGCCTCAAGTGGAATCACAAATCACCACAAACTTTGGAAACTTGAGAGAATAATATATGTGCTCTAGAAATTTGGCCACCACTCTTGTTCACACACAACTAGTTCCATTTCAAGCAACGTAAGCTCCTTTATGTAGTGTGGAGGATTAGGGTTACATCCATGTAAACCCTAATACCCATGACTCTTCCTTTCCAAGGATCCATGGGTTAAAAGCTCCATGGATTATCCATGGACTCCCATGCATGCCAAGCCCATTCCAAATGAGTATCAGCCCACACTACATAAAATACAAGAGCCCATATTTAATTAGTCACCTTTTTTATCACCAAATTAATTCTAAATTAATTTATGATCAATACTAATTAAATAATATGATTTCATATTAATATATTATAACTTATAATATATTAATAAATCATGAACATACTATTCTCAAAAGATTATCCATACAAATTGTTCGGGTGAAGTGCAACCCAAATGGACCATGCCGGGTCAGGTCAAGTGCATCTCAAATAATGTTATGGACTTAGACACCTTATCCAACAATCTCCCACTTGGATAAGTCTAATAACATATTTGCAGATATGACTTCAGGAACCAACCGGCAATCGCAGCTCTCAAAACTCCGATGAACTATGAAGCGCCATTTTAGATAAGTGATCATATAATCCTCTGTTCTCAAGATATCAGCCGGACAAATACATGGAACAACGTCGTACTTATTGTCCAGCAGTTTGTTTCCCAATTTCCGATTTGTTTGACATAGAACTAAATTGAACACATCAATTAGGTTCTGACCGGGCCCGGTACATAGGTCAAAACAAAATCATCGAGGGGCCCAGATTTCGCTTCTAATCCTGCAAGGACTAGAAGGAACAGATAAACTTCGACTCATATACTTGTTTCTACTACTTGTTGAAAATATACACAAAGGCACGTTTTATAACATCAAGTTACTGATGTGTTTTCGTGCAATCAATGTACAATCAACTCATAGGTAACAACTCATATCTCTAGGTTTGAAGACTTATATGATATTACCGTCTCACGATCACTCGAGATAAATTCCATGAAGTGATGCAAGTGAGCGTGGGTTTATTCCAATACTCAGAACTTATGAGCACTCATGAATGTTGTAGCAACCATTGCTATGACTAAACAGCTTTAGTCATCTACAAGCCCAATTCATGACAGTCTTAATTCATACCTACTTCCGACGTATAATCGACTGTGGAAGTTTGAATAACTTAATCATTCGGAAAGAATAACCTAGTTATTATGGAAGTCAAAACATGCAAAGTGAAACATAAGAATAATTGAATCCAATATGGTCTCAGCACTTATGAATATAAATAAAACACCCTTTTATTCATCACTATATTGATTCCACATTATTCTGTTTCGACTTATCAACTTAACACTTGAATTAAAACAATAGTTGTCCCATGCTCCAAGCATGTACACTATGTTTTCTAAACAATAGTCATACCATACTTCAAGTATGCAAACTATGTTTGTCTATGATCCATACTTTGTGAAGTAGATCAATTGAACATGATTCCAATGATACTCATTTCACAATCCCAAGTCCTTACAGTAAATGTAAGAATATCAAATTCTTGTCATTTACTGTAATCTGTTAGATTTTAAACTCATATGCAATGTTCCTCTTGCAATGACTATGCATAAATGTCACAGAGACCTGGCAATAGCCATTACAAAGTATTCCATTGGAGATCAATTCCATGGAAACGAAGTCTCATATTCAAGGTACATTGCTTTGAATATCCTTCTTGCATAAAAGTTTCTAACTTTCTCATAGATTCTTAAAATCCAACTCCCAATATGAAAAATATTTGCATATTCCCATTTTGACTATTACTTCTGAACAAGAGCTACCTCTTTTCATAATATGTCAATATGGACCTTTCCAACATCATACTTCCAATTGTCTATGAGAGACCAAGCTTAGGTAAACCTCAGATTGTTCTCGACAATTGCTTAATCATTTCAGTCATATCCGGTTCTATTCCTTTTTCCCTCTTAATGCTCTAAGCATTTTTGAAAAATTTAGAACGGATAAATATTATAGGACATGTGATCGATCCTATACCCGAAGCATATGGGACACGATTCATGTTGTCTCACATAAAGACCTGATACTAGATCAGTCTTTTGCTACAATATTTTTTTTATTTCCCATGTTTTCAAAAATCGACTACGAAGAGGGATGTCGTAATCATAATCGAATTTGAGAACGCAATATATATATAGAATTCCCTTATGTTGAACCATTCCAACATAAAATTCATATATATATATATATATATATATATATATATATATATATATATATATATATATATATATATCCTTGACTAAAGATGATTGAAATCTCAATATGAACTTTTATAGCAAAACAACCTTTTCCAAGCAAAACTCTTGTTTTCTATAATTAACAATACTCATCATAATTGATTACGTTCCCATTGGCATAATAATTATTTAGCATAACAATTATGCTCCCACTAGCTTTGACATGTACTCAGAAATAAACTTCTAGAAATCAATACTTTATTGACTTTCATTACCAAAGTTCAAATTTCTTGATACGAGATGCTTCGACAAAACTTTATCTAAGCTTCTCAGACTCATACATCTTTCCTTAGATAGCTCACATGTGTGTCTAAACAATTATGAAGAGGGATGCCGTAATCATAATGTTTACACCTGTTTTCCATTTCTCACAAGTCCATGTTAGTGTGTCGGTTAACCACATACGCTCCACTAACGACTTTGAGAATGCAAATATCACAATTGCTATCTACTTAAAATCTACTTAGTGAAAGCGTTTCCTCACCATAATTTTCATGAATCGGAAAGAAACCTTATGACACTTAGATTTTATGGTGTATGTGTTCCTATCCATGTGAATTTGTCAAACCCGTAATCACAAGACAAGGTTAGTGACAAACTCAAAACCATATGGATTGAACTTGTTCAATCTTGATTTCTTGCCTCTTGGTAG